GACTCATTTACATGAAATATCCAGAGCAGGAAAATCCACAATGACAGCATCAGCAGCAGGTGCCACAAGCTGGAGAGGATAGGGACTAAGGGAAGTGGCTCTTGAGGATGATGAAGAGGTCCTGAAAGGGGCGTGAGGAGACTAACTGAACTGTGCACTTTAAAAGGGGGACTGTGTGGTGTGAATTATATCTGAATAAAACAATGACAAAAACATAAAATCCCATTTACATCAGGACCACCTGGAGTGGTCATTTAAAACGCATTCCCAGCCGGGTGCAGCGGCACAGGCCTGTGACCCTAGCACCTCGGGGAGGCAGAGGCAGGAGGATGGCAAGGTCAAGGGCCGCTTACACAGCCTCTGCCTCAAGAAAAGACTGGGGGCCTGGCTCGATGACAGAGTGCCCCTGGATTCAATCCCCAGAGCTGCAAAATAGATAAATTATTTAATAAAATAAAATGCAWCCTTGGGCTTCCTGAGCTGGAACCTCTGGACCCAGGAGTTGACAGTTCAATTGCAGGTGCTCCGCAAGCACACCCAGAACCGCCTCTCCCAGAAGAGAGACCTGGTCTGCATGAGTTTTCCGTTGCTGCTGTAACAAATCACACCACGTAGTGGCTCCAAACAAGACATCTTACAGTTCAGGGATCAGAAATCTGAAATGGAGGGCTAGGTTCCTTCTAGAGGCTTGGGGGGGGGGATGTTTTCTTGCATTTTCCAGCATTTGGAGGCTCCCAGCCTTYCTGGATTCCTGTCCCCTGCCTCCATCTTCGAAGCCACAGATGGCTGGTCAGTTGAGACTCTCGCATGCTACAAATCTTTTCTTTCATTTTTTTTTTTTTGGGGGGGGGGGACAGGGTCTCTCTAAGTTGCTGAGGCTGGCCTTGAATTTGGGATCCTCTTGCCCCAGCCTCCTGAGTAGCTGGGATTAAAGGTGTGTGCACCACTCTGACCCTCTTCCTCCCTCTTTCATTGCCAGGACCCTTCTGAGTCATGGGGCTCATCTCTGTAATCTGAGGTCCTCTTTCCCCGCTGATCAGCAACCCTGATTCCCTCTTGCTGGGGAACCTCATGTCGTCACAGGCCCCAGGCACTAGGTGTRGCCTCTCCGGGGACCTCTCTCTGCAGCCTACCCCAGGCCCTCCCGTCTGATGGCGTTAAGATGCTTCTTGCCCACATCCCAGGCAGGGACCAAGCAAAACTTCCAGTACCTGGCGCCCCTTCCCAGGGCCGCTGCATTTCAGTCTGAGAAGAGACGACTCTGTCTCCTTGGAGGGCTTCTGTCCCTCTGCCAAGCCTGTCCCCGTGCTCCCTGTAAAGGAATGATGAAGTTAAAATAGATTTTGGGCCYGTGCCACCTCTATCTGCTTCTCTGATAAGTTCTGTTTCTTGGACAACGATGCGGAGTTGGAAGCCCTTTCAGGGACAAGCTTCCATTGGTCCCTTGTAAGTTCCAGTAACTGGTCACTATTTATAATTCTATAAATCATAGAAAACAGTGCTCAAGCCGTGCTCCCCGGAGAGCCCCAGTCTCCTATTTTTAGGTGGCCAGACCTCTCCTCCCACCCCGTGCGCAGCTGCAGCCCTCTGAGGTCTGGACAAACACAGGTCCCCGAGGAGCCCAGGTCCTGCAGCCTGGGAGGGATCCTGGAGAGACACCCGCAGGGGCCCTCCTCTCAGGCAGCCAGAGGGGGTGACTTTCCCACTCAGGACTGGTTTTAAAGGGAAAATGAGCAAGAGCAACCAAAGCCCCCCTGCTGAGATCATGTCCCAGGACCCACGGGGCTTAAGGGGAAGGGGGTGCTGGACAGAGATTCAGGTCTGAGCTGCGTTTATTTGTTTCACTAGGAATCAGGGGAGGAGGGGTGGAGGCTGGCTGTAAAGTCTTGGGTATCTTTCCCCAGGGAAGGAGGGGGCGTGCTCGGGGCCAGTCATTTCGCCCACCGACTGTCAACGCGGCGCTGTGATACCCTRTCTACAGATGAGGACGTCAAGGTTTGGAGGGCAATGGACCCAACCCGAGGGCATTGGAATGCTTCTCCCCCACCCCCCACCGTATGCTGTCACCCCGGTGAGCTGAAAAGATGGGGGGTACCTCAGAGGAAGAAGGACGAATGCAAATTGGGTGTGATCCTTCTCTGGTGGCAAATGACACTAAAGCCAAGAAGCCAAGGCACATAAAGCCATCAAAGGAACCTGGACAAATCCTCCCCCAAGACTGTGCCAGATCCCAGGTGCAGGCCACCTGCAGGGTCTCCCGCCCTGGATGCAGTTTGCAAGAGCGTCACTCATCGCTGCCTGTTTGATGTGGTTTAGGTTTTATACAAGGAGGGGGAGTCCCTGTAAATTCCTGGGAGTCAGTGGCCTGAGGATTARGAACAAGTGCGGCTCCTAGAATATTAACAAGCCGTGGGAGTATGCCAAGTCATGAGAAGGGACAGGCKAGCCGTAGACTCAGCTGCTTAGACAGCTCCAGGTCTGCGCTCTGATTTGGGCTCAGCGCATTCTGAACTCTGGCTTTTCCATCCACCAAATGGGGATGTGTCGGGTGTCTGTCCCCTAAGCTGCTAGGATGTCACATCTCTGTCCTTCTGATGTCAGGGACTAACTGCTTCACCATTGTGCCCAAACTCCTGGCACTCAGGAGTGAGATCATGGATGAACGAATAAATGAATGAATGCATGGAGAACACCAGTCTTCTGGAGATGGCTGGAGCTCCGAGAACAGACTGTTACTTATTAGGGAATTCTGCAAGCCGGCTGTTATACTATAGGTGCCTTGAACTTGACCTTACAGGAGTATTTACAGTATGGAAATTGGCAAATCCTACCCACCAGGACTTCCTTTCCTCCTGCCTTCTCAGAGAGCAAGCAGAACACTGGCTAGGACCCGGGCAAGCCCTGTGTGCAGCATTCTGCAAACAGGAATCCCCGCGGCCACTGGGTGAGGAAGGCGCAGGTGGGAATGTCCTTTCACAGGTGGGAAAGCTGAGGCCCTGGGAGGTTACGGCACGGCCCACGAATGGTTCTGTGGCAGAGCAGAAGGAAGACCGCCCTCGCTGTCTTCTTGGTGGCCACTGTGGTGTCACAGGTACCAGCCACGTGAATCCCACTGGTGCAGGAAAGAGCATTATATATTTTCAGCCATGGCTTTAATCAGCTCCTGCAGGAGGGTGGTCCTCTGGGAGAAGAGAGGCAGTTGCCTGGTGACTAAAGTGCCTCCCCGTCCTGGAAGGTCACCCTGGGTTAAGGGAGGGTGCCGCTCACCCCCTGAGGCGGGCCTCCCCCAGGGACTCCGGGCCCCCAATCCAATCAGCCCGCAGCCGCCTCCTAGAGCAGCAGACCCTGCTGGGTCTTGCTGTTGACGACATCAGGGCCTCGGGTAGGACTGAGTGACATTGTCATGTTCTAGAACAGGCGCAGGGCTTTGTGTGCAGGGAGACCCACCCCGTGTGCTCGGTGTGTGCCAGAGTGGGAGGGCAGAGCTGGGGGTGGGAGCCACCGCAGGGGCCAGGCACCTCGCAGAGCGTGTATTCACCTTGTTTGTGGCTTTGGCGGGTCCCTTCTGGGTCAATCGTGGACTCCCTGCAGCTCAATTTAAGGGATGACAGAAGCACTCCAGGGGCCACTCTAGCGTGGACACTCCAGGTCTCTGAGGCCCTGCCACGCCCACACCAGCCCTTGCTCACCGTCTGCACCGTCTGGTGTCCCCCTCCACCAGGCAGGAGTGAGTGCTTGTCTGGGACCAAACAGTGGCCAGCCAGCAGTGTAGACAGGGATGGAGTCAACACGGATTCCAGGTACCGCTCTGCCCCCCCGCAAGGCAACCCGGGGAGGCGGATCTTGGGGCTCCAGGAGGTCTCCATTCAGGAGCACATGGTGGCTCTGAAAGGCTCCCTGGTCTGCAGGAAAGGGCTGCTGAGACCCTGCCTAGGACCCTGTGAAGCCATGGAGCCGGGTCCACTCAAGTCCCCGTCTGGCAGCAGGACAGAGCTGATGCCCTGACCCTGCACTTTCCCCTGAGCCTGGCCCGCAGCACAGACGCCACATACCCAACAACCTTTGGTGGCCATGTCAACAAGGACAGTAGAGCGCACTGACCTGACCTCCACAGGAAAGTCTTGCCGTGGCCCTGTGACCTCCCTGAGCACCAGCTCCTCTTCCCTTGCCAAGCAGATATGACCCCACAGGACCACCAGCTGCAGTCACCTGGTGCCGTGTCCACCCAGGCCTTTTGGTGGACCACACATGAACTGACTCCCATTTTAAGGAGGAGGAATCAGGGTTAGATAGGCGGCAGGGCCGACAGGTGTCACCCTGCCCAAATGCAGAGCCAAAGCCTTAAGCTGCCTTAACCCAGAAACTTCCCGCGGTGGCCTCGGGGACCACTTGTGTGGCCCCTCTATTGCCGTTTACCTAAAATGAAACCACCTGAGGGCGTCGTCCCTCTCAAACTCTCCCCGGGAGGGAGGGTGGGCGGAGCTCCGGCCTGTCAAGTGGGAGACGCCCCTGGGTCTGGGTGGCGGTGGCTCCCAGGGCCGCCCCCCAGGTGACCTCCGTCGGAGGCTGCAGCGGGAGGCTGGGGCTTTCCTGGAACCCTCCGAGCGACGCGTATCCACCCGGGATGGTGAGGACTGGCTCTCCGCGGAGCTGACTCCTGCTCGCGGACCTCCCGCCTGGCCCGCCGGGTTTCGCTCCGGGTTTCAGCGAGGACGGGGCGGAGGGGGGAACCTGCCAGGGGTCCCGGGGCTCCGACCTCCACCCCAACTCCGCTCGCACCTGCTTCTTCCCGCCGGGCAGGGTGCGGACGGGGAGGGGCGCCGTGCGTGGCCGCTGCTGCGGGGCCTCGGGCCGCCGGGCTGGGGGCTCCCCTGGCCGCAGTCGTTTCCGGGCGGGGCGCCCCCCACCCCACCCCACCCCACCCCACCCCACCCCCACCCCCTCCGCGCGTGAAGCCGACGGGCGCTAGGACCGCGCGCGCCTCCGGCCGCCGCTATATGAGGCCGCGCTCGGCCCCACGCGGAGCCCGCGGCACGGAGCTGTCCCCGCGTCGCGACCCGCCTCGGACCCAGGCCCCGGCGGCCGCCGCGCAGCCAGGCGCAGGTCGGCGAGGGCAGCGGCCCCGGCCCGCGCGCACCATGGGCGCTGCCCACTCCGCGTCCGAGGAGGTGCGGGAGCTCGAGGGCAAGACCGGCTGTGAGTCCGCGGGGACCGGGGGGACCGGGGGGACCGGGGGGACCGCGGGGACCGGGGGGACCGGGGGGGACCGCGGGGACCGGGGGACCCGCCCGCCGCGCTGTGTGACCTTGGCCCGCCGCTGGCCGTCTCTGGTCTCGGTCTCCCCTCCTCCCCAGGGGTCGCCGGGGACCGGGAGGGACAGGGTCCGCGCGGCTCCCGCTCCGGGACGCGCTGCGCAGGCGGAAAGTTTGGAAGTGGCCGGCGCCGGGAGGGACCGCTGGGCTCTCACTGCCCTGCGGGGTGGCCGCGCCTCGCTCCGTCCCCCGCATCTGTCAAATGGGCTCAGCCGGCCGCTCCCCCAGCTCGTCCCGGCTCCGGGGCCGCAGAGGCGCCGCGCCCCGCATCCGGCCGCCCGGGCGCACCCAGAGGCCGAGCTGCCCGCAGGGAAGTGACGGAAGAGGCGCCTGTGCGTCCGCGCCTGGCCGAGCTGGGCACTTGACCCTGGTGGCGGACCTGGGGCTCGGGGTTCTGCTGCCCGCTCCGAGGAGGGTGTGGGGGGAAGACCGCCGGAGGCCGGGCGGGTGGGCAGCTGGCCCTGGTGACAGGCAAACTGGCCGTTRGCCCTCCCAGGTCCACGCTGGCTGTGTGACCTTGGGCTAGTCACTGTACCTCTCTTTTTCATTCTCTTGGGAATGAGAGCTCTACCAGGACTTTTTAGATGCTGGAAATGGGAACTGCAGGTATTTCTGRGAAGGAGCTGGCTCTTGGCACCGGAATACAGACGACCAGCGTCCAGCTGAAGAGACTCAGCAATCTAAACACATCCTTCCAGCAGAACTAGTTGAAAATTACAGAAAGCCCTTAATAACGGTGTGTATGCATGCACATATTTATGCACATCCACACGTGTATGTCTCTAGGTGTAAAGGTAGAATGGTGTCCCACTAGAGAAAAGAAGTGTGGCACTTTTTAGGTCTATGAAACCCTTTCTGTTACGGACTGAGTAGGAGAGTATGTTGGAATTGCTTTATTGGCATCAAAGACTGGAAGGAGTCCCAATAAAATCAGAATAATGGATCCCTGTTGGGATGCGGTAGAAAAGAAGGCAGACTGAACTTTTCATGTAAGCTCTTTATATTTCCTTTTGGACGGTGTGATTATTTTACTAATCCAGAGAGTGTCACCAACTTTAACCTCAAGACGCCGGTGAGAGAGGAGGGGTGGCTTCCCCTTGGCCTTACTTTCTTGGGGTCCTGTTTTTATTCCTCCAGTGCCCTCCCCTTGCCTCCTGCCAGCACCTCTCTGAGCTGCAGGAGGGGGTCTTTCCTAGCTGGGGCTCCCCTGCACCCGGCTGTCAGGCAGCCCCCGGGCATCTGGGGGAATTCCGCCTGGCTGTGGGTTTGACAGATGACGGGCCACAGAGCATGCTGGGAGTCTTGTCAGTTTCCCGGGTCCAGCCTCCCACGGGCGTGACAGATGCTCTGTTCAGGCTCAGTAGCTTTYCTAGATGTGGCTCTGCCTTCCATCCTTGCTGCCCAGGGCTCAGATTTCATGCCCAAAGGGGAAGGGACCACAAAAGGGTCAGAGAGGAGGTTCCAAGGTTAGACTCCAGGAGGAACGAGTGCTCCCAGGAATCTGAACTTGGGATAGTTGGACAGCCCCTCACCCCCACTTTCTGAAAGGGGCTGGGACAGTCTGGTACCTTTACCCACTTAGCAAATACCTATGAACCAGGGGCTGGGATTTAGARGTGAGCCAAAGAGGCCAGTGCTCCCGAGGGGGAGACACAGTTAACGATTCAACCCATAGGTAGTAAGCTCTGTGAACAAAATACTACAGGGGGCAGACAGAGGCAGGAGAGCATGTTTCTTTAAGGTTGATGGGGGCAGATCAGAAACTCAAATAAGAAGGAGCCAGCTGCATGAAGATGGCTGGTAAGGGCACTTGTATCAGGGATCAGCAGATGCAAACGCCCTGTGGCAGGAATAAGTTAACATGATAAATGTGATCTGTAGACCCCTGCTATTGTGGCAGGAGCTGCCTTCCGGGTGTTTGCTTGGTGTGTGGCTTTGGGCATGTCCCGCATGTTCTCTGTGCCTCAGTTTCACCTACTGTAAAACAGGCATAGTGACAGAACCTTCTGGAGTCATGGTGAATTTTTTTTTAATTTCTTTTTAATATTTATTTTTTAGTTTTCGGCAGACACAACATCTTTGTTGGTATGTGGTGCTGAGGATTGAACCCGGGCCGCACGCATGCCAGGCGAGCGCGCTACCGCTTGAGCCACATCCCCAGCCCCCCCTTTTTTTTTTAATATCTATTTTTAGTTTTCGGTCATGGTGAATTAATACATGTAAAGTGCCGAGAACAGACACAAGCAGGTGTTTATATTATTGACACACTTTAAACTCATTTGTATGCTGCGTTTGCTACTCGGAGCCGCACCTAAGTCTGGGTCCCACTTCTTCCCAGTCATGTGACCTTGAGCAAGTCATTTTCCCTCTCTGAGCATGGTGCCTCCATCTGGGTCCCATGTAGCTGTGGGCATTCAATAAGATCGTTTGTGCGTTCAGGGAGCACTGCGCTCAGTATGGCCGGTCAGCCCCTCAGTGGGGTGGGCCGGGTGGGGACCCTTCTATAAGAGCTGTTGGGAAGCTCCTGAGAAGGGGGAGAGCCCACACTGGGGTGGCCGGAGAACAGGCCGAGCCCCTAGGCTGCTGGCTCCTTGCTGATCCTTTGACGCCTGCTTACGGGGTCTTTGTGCAAATCCTCCAGGGGAGGTGGTGGGACAGCCACTTTACAGGTAAGGAAACTGAGGCTCAGAGAGGCAAAACAACCTGCCTTCAGTCCCACCGCTAGTAAGTGGGGAGAAAGGAGATGAACGGATTCCCAAGGCCACCTTCTCCCCACCACCAGGCAGTCACCGTGTTTCATTGTCTCTTGGACTTCTAGGAACCCAGGTGGAGTGGGGAAAGCCTGCCCGTGTTTGTTCTTACCCCTGGGCCTTTGCACGGCCTTCCCCTGGCTGGGGCACCTTCCCATTTTACTGCGCACAGTTTSGTGTTTACGGGAGACCCTTCTGCCACCACTGCACAGGGTTCCCCTTAACCCCGCCCCTTCACAAAAGTGATGCTTCTCACCGTCCAGYGCTCAGCCTGGCTGGCTCTTGCTCCTTCCATAAGGCCACCCCTGGCCCTGCTGCGAGGGGCCTTTGTGGGTTCAGTCCATCTGCACCCTCTCCTGCCACAGCACCTCTGCCACCTGCCACACCCTCAGACCTGGAGCCCCTGAGGGCCGAGAGAAGCGTTTTGCAGGGGGAACACAGTAGACTGGGCACTTTGCAACCCAAGGAGCGCTGTCCCCAGCAGAAAGCCCAGGGGCCTTCACCATCCAGCCTTGGCCACGCCAGCTGTCCCAGCGTCTCCAGTCCCTGGGCTGTGGCAGGGAGCCAGCCACTGAACACCGGCTGGAGCCGGAGCTGCCCACGAGGCATCATGGGGGCTGCACGCCCACCTCCCCTGCCGCCTGCAGCCGTCTCATTGATTGATTCGCAGCACCCACCAGCATTCCCCGGCAGCTCTGCGGAGCCAAGGACGCTTCCTACCTAGATGGTTAAAATTCACATCGAAACTGGAGCCAAGGCGTCCTGGTGGCGCGTGAGCCTGCCCGCGCCTGGCCTTCCCACGCAGCCGCAGGAGACCGGCGGTGGACCCAGAGGAAGAGGCTCCTGGGATCCGCCGGGCCACCTGGAGGGGCCTGGAGTTGGCACCTTCCTGTGGCCCTGGGCTCTGCCTGCTCCTGCGCCTCCACGAGGAAGTCCAACCAGAGGGTCCTGGGAAGGTGGAGGGTCTGCTTTCTCCCTCAGTCTCCAAGACCGCGCCACAGGCACGTCTGCACAGATGCCAAGAAGCTGCCAGAAGGAAAAGAGAAAAACAGATCTTCAGGCTGAGCGCCGGCTGCCCAGTGAGGCCTCCTGTTTATCAGGCGTCATCGGCAGACACCGCGCGGGGCCCAGCACTTCTCTGCAGCGGCTGAGGGGATCCTCCAGGAGCCYGGGGCTTCCCATCCTTCGGACCAGGAAGCAGGCTCCAGAGTCAAGGGGCTGCCCAAGGCCACAGGGCCAAGGGGGCAGACTGGGGATCCACTTGGCCCTAAACCCCTCTGCATCTGGTGGGCGGCCCAAGTCCGGCTGGTGGGCAAGGTGGGGGTACTGGTGGGCGTGGCCTGAGCCTGCTGGTGGGCGTGGCCCGAGCTGCCCGTAGAGCCCCAGCCCTGGGCAGTGTCCCTTGGTCTTGAAAGTCTCTGGTCCCACAGCACACCCTGGGCCCCTGGCCATATGCCTATTCCGTGTTCCAGGCACTGACCACCCGAGGTCCAGACTGACCCTCGGCCCACCTAAAGATCAGGGGCTCAAAGGAGAGGGGCAGCCCAAGGATTGGGGCACACAGGAAGCTCTGATGGGGACAAGGGTGGCATTGGGCGCCAGGCTGCTTCATCCACCCAAGAGTGGGAAGGAAACAGCCGGCCCCACCCACGGGCTCGGCATTTTGCCTGCAGCGGGTGGGGTGTTTCACCTGGACGCTGGGGGCATCCTGAACCCAGGAAATTGGATGTGGAGTTACCGTGGCCTCAGGGAGGGACCCCAGGGCGCTCATCAGCTTCTCAAATGGTGGCGAAGGGTTCCGTGTGTAAATCGCACCTCGGGAAGAAAGCAGTGACTAAAACCATGTTTTAGAAATGAAAACAGTGACCTCTGGGTAGAGGAGGACAGCATGTTCCCGAGGTGTGGGAAGACCGACCCCCACAGGCTGAGTTCTCTGGGTAGGTCCGGGGTGTGCGATGGGGCTGTGACATTGGCCATCTGTGCACAGAGGGGTGCCCAGGGGACCAGACCCTCCAGAACCTTTTCATCTTAGGAAGGTGGAAATATCTGGGCCTCCCCGCCCTCCTGCTTTCCAAAGTGCTGGGAGCAAATGAACTGAATTATGGGGCTCCCCAAACACCTCTGCCCCAAACCC